ATATCTTTTACTTAAAATAATAATTAAAATAATTGTTTTTTGAATTTTAAAAATATATATTTATTATATATATTCTATAAATTTATATATGTAAAATATATTTTTATTATCATATTATATTTATAAATATTTAAATCTATACATTTTTATATATTTTTATTTATTTTTTAACAATGAAAATTTTGATAAGAAACTTTTTTGGTTCCCATATAAGCCTCAACTTAGCTTGTAAAATTATAGTGTTTTGAGAATTAAGGTTAAAACAAGTCTTACAAGAAGCAAATTTTAAGACGAGTAGGCTCTCGATATTTTCACAAACTTCAACTGTTCAAGTCAGGACTAATTCTGAATCAAGACTTAATATTGTCGGATGATTGGGATTGCACGTTGTTAGAGCAGTGTCTTTCTCTTTATGCTATTGACCTGCTTCTTGATGATGGTCCGGATAGGAAAAGATGGAGGATTGGTAGTAGTTAATATGTTGTTGTTAAAGATGTTTATGATTGGATTTACATGCTGAGGAAAGGGTTATAGAATCAGATAATTTGTGGCATTCTATTTGGAGTTGGGATGGACCCCAAAAAAAACCAAATTGCTGATGTGGAAGATTTTGCACCATCGTTTATTCACAATGGACTACATTGCTCAATAGGGTAATGGGTCTGCTATATGCCCAGTTTGCAGGAACGATAGAGAAACCATTCTTCATGCATTGAGGGATTGTCATGTGGTGAAAATCTTATGGAGTATATTGGTTCCTATTAATTTTGATTCTTTTTTTTTTAAGTTGATGTGGACCAGTTGCTTTTGGTTAATATGGTGAAAAGTGGGGAAATAAGAGTTCCAAAGAATTGGTTAACTATATTTTTCTTAACCTGCTAGAAGTTATGGAAGTGGAGGAATGAGATTTGGCATGGGCGTATTCTCTCTGATGTAGCTATTAGGGAGCGCGTTATCATCAACCTTGTGCAAGAGGTAGAGACTGCCTATAATAATCCTAACAATTATCGTTTGGGAAGGAGGTCTGTGATTTCCAATATTACATGGCAATTTCCAGAGGATGGTTCTGTAAAGCTTAATACGAATGGGCTGCGCGTGGAAACTTGGTCCAACTACTTGTGGTGGTATTATTCGTGATTCAACAGGGAATTGGATCAAAGGTTTTGCATATAAGCTAGGGTCTTGCTCATCCTTTAAAGCGGAGCTTTGGGGTATTCTTCATGGTTTGAAGATTGCATAGAGGGAAGGTTTTCGTTGCATTGAGCTTGAAAGTGATTCGACGAGTGTTATTTCTGTGCTAACCAAGATTGGTGTAGCAGTCCATGAGGGTCATTTGATCTCTCAGATACGGACATGGTTACATAAGGGTTGGAGGATCAAGATTTATCACATATATAGGGAGGGGAACATATGCGCAGACTGGATGACTAATTATTTATTGAATAATGAGGTAGATGTCACTCAAGTTGTCTGGGGGACCTCAACCTGGAATTTATTTTTTGTATTTAGCTAATTTTTCTTCAGTAGGTTGGCCTCGTTCTATGGCTGTTTCTTAGTTTCCTTTTGTTGTTGTTCATTTGGGGGGGGCTCTGGCCCTTTGTTTCTACTTCGGCAAGTGCACTAGTTCGCTAACAACGATTTAGTTGGACAATCGAATTTGAGATAAAAAGAATTGAAATTAAAAACAAGCAATAACATTCAATTTTAGAATTAAAAGCAAGAAAAAAGACGAGTTGTTTAATTATCAAGAACGAGCGTAGTTAGGGTTTCTACTTCTCCAAATATCCTCTTTGTGCTATGAATTAAATAGTCAAGAATTTGCTCTTAATATAATGTCAATCAATTCTTTCTAAGTTAATTAAGGCTCAATTCCTTGTTACCCTAATTCTATGTAATCTTGAAAGAATCCTAGTTCCCCAGTTGTTCATCAAGAAAACATGCATTAAAATCAAGAATTTAAAGATTGCACAATTGTCCTATGTCTATCCCTATATCATAAGGATTATGATGAATTTATCAAATAAGGATTCATGCACCAACATCCCTATTGTCATATAATTCCCCTAAATCAATTTATAAGAAGCAACCTCATAGAAAGCATTAAAAACGAATAAATTCATTCAATTATAAAAAGAGAAGAATTCGGAGACAATTTAATTCATAACAAAGAGATTCAATTGGATTTCATCTTCCCCTAACTACGTAAAAACTTAGCCTAACATATTGAAATAAAAAACAATTGGAAAGAAAATGATTCCCCAAGACTCCATTGATGTTATGTTGTCTTGAATCTTCAGTACTCCAATGCTCCACAATAGGATTCCTCCTCTTGACTCTTCAAAATGCTCTCTTTTGATTCTGAATGAACCCTTTATTTATAATGAAGAAACCACATCTTTTAATTTTCCATATGATCCTATGGAATCATCACTGAAATCTCAAATCATATCTTCAATTTGATGATTCTATAATTTGAATCTGAATTGCATCGCAACTAGACATTCAAATGTTGATAAGCGCGTTCAAATGTTGATTAGCGCGTTTAAATGCTGTTCAACGCGTTCAAATGTTGATCAACGCATTTCCCCCTATTAGATGGCGTTTTAATGTTGGAATTAACATTTAAATGCGCTCCTTGGCTGTGGTTTCTTTCATGCTAGCGCGTTCAAATGTTGACTAGAGCGTTTTAATTCTGGAGGGCGTTTAAATGTTGTCTAGAGCATTTAAATGTTCTCAGCGCGGGAAAAATTGCTAATAACAGCGCGTTTGAATGTTGACTGTGACATTAAAACGCTCTCCAACAGAGATTTTTCTTCACATTTGAGCATTTGAATGTTCTCTTCCAGAAACTTCTTCTTGGATGAATATTGATCTTCCAATTCCAACTTCAATCTAATCCATTCTTGCTCAAATTTGTATTAATTTGTCTTCAAAACCAATAAGAACAAGATATGTTAGATAGAAATCTAATTTCCATGATTTTTAATATAAAACCTAAGTATTCATGCTCTTAACTATATAATTCACTCAATATTAGCCATATAAACATGATAAACTAGAGGTTTATCACCCTTGCTTTTTTTTTTTTTTTTAAAAAAACTCATAGAAAATTTTAATCTATACCATTAGTTCTCTTTTTCTTTTTCTTTTTGGGTAAACAATACCATTACTTCTCTAAATTACTGTATATTGACGTACTTTATTTATTGAGGAAGTAAATCTTATCCAAACACTCAAACAGTTCAACTTTATACTCCAAAATCCTCCTCGTTCAACTTGTTCATCCAGTATTTTCATAATGGGAAATGGAAGAGTTACGTAACAGGAATGAAAAAAAAAAAATCCTCCACTCACAACTTTTATTGATAACAACGCCTCTTTTTCTTTTTTAAATTCGTGGGTCCTACAAAAAGTTGTATCTACAGGAAAATAATTTTGGTTCCTGTTACGTAACTTTTACATTTCCCTTTCATAATATACTGTTCTGTCCAATCGCTGATTATAAAAATGACTAAAAAAATGAAGAGAATTTTTCCTCCTTACCAACTGGATCTTGTTGCACCAGGCAACAAACATGCATGAACCATTTCCCGAAGTATGTGTCCAGATAACCCAAAGTCTCGATAATTAGCTCTCGGGGAGAGTATATAGAAAAGACAGTTCTATTTCGGTTCTATTAGTATTAGATTAGTATTAGTTAGTGATCTCGGCTAGGAGCCGCGGTGGTCCCCCCCGGACCGCCCGGATCCCACGAGTGAATAGAAAGTTGGATCTAAGGTATTCTGGAGGAACAGATTGTTCCGGCCCGATATCGTCAAGAATTTCTTACTATTGCCTGGGAACAGGTTCATCTTCGAAGTATTTTTCCCTTCCAATATTTTTCTACTATTTGTAGTACAAATACTATTTATATAGTAATCTATTAATACTAATAGATTAGAAATAGAGAGTATTTAGTAACGAGATGGGGGTTAAGAATGAGAGATGTTAGATATTTAATTTAGATCCGCAGGAATAAAAATAATTAGGGTACACTATATATATATATATATATATATATATATATATATATATATATATATATGAGATTAAATTATTTTTTATAACAGAGAAATATTAATACACTCCAAACTCAATATACATGCATCCTCTTATGTGGGATCCAGCGGGCCGGCTAGAGATGTTAATGTTGTTTTCTAGTTGGGAGCTCCCGAATCAAAAAAAACTTCTACAAGTATTTTTTCCTCTTTTTTTTTTTTATTTGAAGTTTTTTGACTTGGCCTTCCGCATGAATGAAATTTTCTTATTGAAACCCCTCACATTCTTCGATTATTTCAACAATATCAGCATACATAGTGTTACGAAACTCATGAAAAGAGTCCAAATCAAAGGATTAGTCCACCGAATAATAAGAGTTTTCATGTTTGGAATATAACATTAAACTTCTTCATTTAATCAAACATGGAACTCGACGTAAATCGTCAAACTATTTCACTTAATTGGATGGCACATAATCATTTGCTTCTTTAGCAGTCAATGCCATTACGTGCTAGTGTTTAATTTAGCTAATGTTGTTGTATGTGGAGACCACATATTTTGATTGAACTAGCAGGTTTAGTAAAAAGGATGCACCCAATGCTAAAATTTTGGGGTAAATAAATATGGATGGTTGTGGCACAAACTGTGCAACCATTATCTGGAAAACAATTAAGAACCGTAGAAACAAGAAATGAAACGAGAAAACCATGAAATGCGTCAAAAATTACACTATTAAAAAGACGTCAATAAGGTCAACTAACAGCGGCTGGAAAACGCGCACAGTTTGACATCGATTTTGACCTCAGCACCATCCACACCGTTGCTGCGTCAGACGCACACAGGACGGTGCTTTCACCGAACCTATCTCGGTGGGCCCCACCTCATCCCGAACCAGGGTAGGTTCGGACTTCCCCATTCTCTCCCCCCCCCCCCCTCTATAAATACGTGTTCGCGACTCGGCACGACGCGTAACTCTCGCTCGTCGGTAACCAAATTTTCAGGTATGTATTTTCTTTTTCTTTTTCTTTTTCGATCTGATCGCGATTCAAAGGAATTGTTTTCATGAAGTGAAATTTCGTTGTTTTTTTTTTTTTGATTTTTTTTTCGTGCTTGTTTCTTATCTGTAATTGCACGGAAATTAGTGGTTAATTGCTATGGTTTTTTCGTGTTTGAAATTTCGTCTTTCGTAACCGCTTTTTGTTCTTTTCTTCTTCTTTTGTTTGAAGATTCATGACGATTTACCGATCTTTATTACAAAGGAGTCAAAAGAAAGATGGTTTTGAATTTTCGATCTGAGATCTGGATTTTTTATGCATCATCAATTTTTGTTGTTTCAGGTGAAAAAAAATCTTGGAAAAATTCCAATTCCTCTAAAAAATAGAAATAATAAAAAAAAATAGCCATATATATATACATATTTTGACATAATTGGTGAACGACCACATTTTATTTCTACACCGTTCATAATTTTTCCGAAGGTTTTTTTTTTTTTATAAATCTCTTGCGTGTTTGTGAAACTAATGGAATTATGTTTTTTTCAAATTTAAATTTTCAAAACTTTAGAACCGAGGTGTTGATTTTGTAGAAGCTCCATGTTTATACTTAAAATTTGGTGTTTGGTAGATTCTTGTTCCTTGTTAACACTGGTGCTGCTTTGTACTTGTTGATTTATGGCGCAGACAAAGAACAAGGATCAAAGTCAAGCTCAGCAAGATGGCATTAGTCTCTGGTGGAAGATCAACACTAAACCCTAATGCCCCTCTTTACATTCCAGCTGCCTTTCGCCAAGTGGAGGATTTTTCTCCAGAATGGTGGCAGCTGGTAACAACACTAACATGGTACCAGGACTACTGGCTCAGCCAGCAACAGGAAGAGGGAGTCTTTTATGGCAACGTTGGTGAGAATGGATATGATGGTAATGATGTGGTTGATTTGCTGCCTGATACATTTGATCTTGATGCTGGTGAAGATCTTTCTATGGAAGCTCAGCTTGAAGAGTTTATTCAATATTGTGAAACCCAAGGTAAATAATTTGCAGGGACTGGAGTGTATAGGGAATCATAAGGATTCAAGTGTTGAATTCAAAATTCAAATTCTGTAGTGTTATGTTATCTCAAGAAGCAATTTAGAATACTTGAGTTTTGGCTTTGTTTCACTAATGAGGGGCTTCAATTCTTCAGAAGAAACTGGACCCAACACTAATGTGGAACCAGAGCGTGGACCAAAGACATTAACTGCATGAGCCAGAAATTGGAGCTTTCAACACATCTTCCAAATGGAGCTTGCGGTCATTTAGCTATTGCACCATGTTATCTGTAGATTTAACTTTCTGTAAGTCCTGTATAGGCAAGGTTTCAATCGTCAGTCTATCCTTTTCTTGCTTTACCAAAATTATGGTAAATGGGAAAGGAAACGAAAATTTATGACAATATTTCATGCCCTGATGTGGCAAGAGTTGCTACAAGTTCTCAAATTACAAAAATGAAAAAAAAAAATGAAAAAAATTCTCTGTCAGGATTTGTCTCATTACTTTCATCTAAACTTTAAAATGGATCACATCCAACTTTGCAAGACCGAATTTTAAGCAGCGTTCGGTACCCTGGCTGCTGAATTCTTAAAACTCAATTTTTAACTCTTCGACTTGAATATAAGAATTTTTAGCATTTTGCCATAAACACATATCAGTTTGTCAGTTAAAAGAAACGTGACACATTCATGAAACAGGGCATAGCTATGTTATTCCTGAAGATCCTTTTTCTTTTAGAGATAGTTTTATTTTTCTGACTTGTGCAAAGGCAATCAATACATAAAATTTGAAATACTACCTCCCAAAATGCAGACATTGACTGTATATATGTACATAATAGGCGTAAGTCTTACAACTTATCGCAAAACTACATAATCACCGTCTCTGACACCTAAACTGCAAGTCTCTCTAAGTAGGTGGGGGATCACACCAACTAGTTGCAAAGATGTTATTGCCTCTGCAATACGTCAGTTTGGTTACAGCTTCTATTCTCATCCTTAATGAAAGACAGTGGCAAAGCAATCCAGTTCTTTTCATGCGGATAGCTCTGTACCTGCCCCCACGTATTCCGTATCCTCATCTTCAAGTATTTTCCTTCTTTGAGCTTCAAGTTTAGTTTGGTTGCCAATAGCATCAGAGATGGCTTTTGGTAACCAAAAACCTGGTTTCTCAAGGAATGAAGCCCTATCAAGGACCAAAGGTTCTCTCAAAGTTACATCAACTCCATCAAAGGTCCACAATTTTATGGTTGCTTCACCTTTGAAACCCAAAGAGAACCAACCTAAACCAGCTATTGCTATGTCAATGCTTTTGACATCCCAACTAGATCCAGACACTTTAACTTCCCTTTCTTGCCATGTGCCTAATTCAGCAGCGCGGTCACTCCCAATGGGAGGCTGGAATAAGAATAAAATGAAATAAAATTAGGGAAAACATGCATTTCAGAAAATGGATAGAACGCAAAATTTTCATATACCATGCAAGCTATATATGTAAACCTGAAACCAAGTTAACCTACACTGCAGTAATTATATAATGCACATCTACGATCCCAAAATCTACAAATTAATATGAGTATAACCAGAAGTACCCTGATATAGCTCTCTATAAGTTGTAACTAATAGAGGACTATTAAAATATATTTAATGCAGTTTCTATTTCACCAATAATTTAAATTAGTAAACAACTAACAAGACAGTGTATTTAACATTTCTTCATAGACTGTGTATAGTTTGGGCTATATCTTATTGGTACCATTCTTGATGCAGAACAGTTTGGATGAATAACCTAATACCCTTGAATCCAAAGGGATTTTCAAACAACTCAGGCACACTAAAAAATAAATGAACATTTATGGCATTAATTGGAAATCTGAATTTAATATACAATTAAAGAGAAAGTGCTTATCCATACCTATAAGTTCGTAATCTTCTAAACTAATCCTAATTTACAGTACACCTTACTTATATGGAGCTTTTATAATATATACAAGAACCAACTAAAACTTAACTTAGGAATACACAATGTGAAACTTAGTAACTTAAAACAATTCTTTAAAAAAAAAAAAATCTACTAAAACCAATATATTCACTTTGTATATGTGGCAACAACAATCAACAACACAGAGCGGAAGATATAGGTAGAAAGAAATTACACAGGACCAAAGGCAGTCAGAGGAGAGAAAATTTGTTATGGGGGAGGCAGCAGTAGTGCTGCGTTGGTTTTAGGGGGAGTGTGCGGGCTGAGGTAGACATTCTGTTTTGTACAACAAATAGTTCCCTTTTCATACAGTTCCCCAAGGAATGTCTTTGCATTTATGAAACCAAGTTATAATCTAACAATAACAGACATATCTGGCCTTTTTTAGCCAATAATATAAGGTTAATCCAATCAATGAAACCAAGGCCTGCCCATAGCAAAGCAATCAGAAGAAGAATGAAAAGTTTTTCTCATCATAACACCAAATATATTTCCAGAAACAAACAGTAGCACCAATCCTCATTTTGAATCCCTCCCCTTGCAAATGATTTTGATTTTTGAACAATCAAATCTTTCATAATTTCTGACTCAAGAAGTCAATCATTTATCACCAAAATAACCATATTTAGCTTCATTTCAGTCACTCATTATTGCAATGACTGCTTAAGCAAATTCATCAGAGCAAACTCATTTATGAATACAACAATTAGCACCTTCAGATTCAAATATCTACTACAATGTTAATCAAAGTGGGATGCTTTTCTTGTTTCCAGTATTTGGATTTGACAAAAGTTTTATAATTAATAAAAAGTCCTCCTCCTTTCTAAATAGTAATTTGTCAGTTGTCTGGAAATTAAAATAGCACTTTGTTTGCATGCAACAGATTCAGGAAGTCTTGAGATACATCAGTTAAGTTTGATCTGCAAAGCAAATATGATTTTAACATTTCTCAATCCCCACATTGCCCAGAAACGTTTGCATATGGTGCTCCTCAAAACTCACACATATGTACAAGCACATTCCCCCTACCCTCAACCCTCCTTAAGAAAACTAAAGATATACTTCTTGTTAGATTTTTGGCATATGATCTAAAGTATAACCTACAGATTATGTGCAAAATATTCTTTTTAATTAAAGGTTAACTGAGAAAACTAAAGATGCACTTGTAGCTAAGATTCTTGGTATATGCACCAAAGTATAACCTACAGGCACCATGCAAAATCTTCTTTTCTATTAAAGGTTAAGTGAGAGATGAAAAACCATAAAGGGAGATGGAACAAAAACAAAGAGAGTAAAGATTAAATAATCAATTATAATTGTTTCATGTCGGAAATCTCTTCTTCCTGAGAAACTTAAATTGAACTAATGGCTCTTAATTAGCTTATGTAGATTATAATAGCTACTTGAATTCATTAAGATGGAATTAGGCATGAGCAAATTAATCAATTGAAATAAAGACGGCCAAGCTATGGCAAAATGCAGTTTTAAACCACCTCTGCGAAACAAAGTATAACACTTAACATTACTGATTTAGACATAATTCGTTTGGTCTGAGAACAGGAAAAGATTTACCTGCAGCCTGACGCCAACATGATTATGCCAAACTTCATCAGCATTTTCTATTTTCCCCAAGTGAAGAGAAACATTTGGTGATGCCCAAACTGTGACATATATTGTTTCAACAGAGGCTTCAATAAGGTCAAGTCTTGTCAAGCCTCCAATATGTATAGCCTGCCCTACCTGTAAATTAAAACCAGTATGTAAGATTCAAACTGCATCTCCTTTTTTTTGAAATATTCACACTAATCCACATAAAAACCTTCCAATCTCGATTCAGTAATCATTTTCATGGTTCAGAATCTTCAGATACCAAATAAAGGCCAGAATAATGAAAACATTATACTTAAATAAGAACTTTTCTCATTTCTGTTAGCTCTTAACTTATGAATAAGGGTGGCAATACGGGTTGCACGATACGACACAAATTCGATATTAATACGAATGCACTCAATACAAACACAACACAACTTTGAAATCGGGTTAAAACCTACGACACGAACACAACTAGCTTATTTGGCGGGTTGACATGACACAAATAACCAGACAACCTCAGAGTGTATTGTTTATTATGCGGGTTGACACGACACGATAAGACATGAATAATCTGTTTACGACATGACACAACACGAACAACCAGAAAGAAGATTAAAGTGAGTCAATTTCGGGTTCGCGGGTTGACACATGATACAACACAAATTTTTTCGTGTTATTTTTTGCCAACACGAACATGAAACGAATTTGAAAATGAGTTGACCCAAAGAGACGAATTTTTCTTATTGTGTTTGTATCGTGTCGGCCGTCGTGTTCAAAATTTTCACTCCTACTTATGAACAAACATAAAGCACACATATAATCTATGTAAGAGAAATAAAGCACCCCTGACAATTTACATTCAGGATAAAGAACAGCAATAGCAATAAGTAACTTGCCTTAATTCTATATGTTCGAGGACGAAGTTCCTTCCGTATCTCAACCATCTTTTGCTCATCCCGGTTCAATCTCATTGACATTAAATATGGATGCAAGAGCCCTGGAGTGTCAAACATCTTAGCCTTAGCTGACAAAATTCCTCCAATTCTCAAGATTCCAAGTGTTGTACCAGGAACTGGAGCTTCTGTGAGTTTTGTAACTTGGGCTCCTTCTCTCTTTGCAAATGCATTGATGAGAGTAGACTTCCCTGCATTTTGAGCCCCAATTACCCACACATTCCCGCGAGGGCCAGCCAAATTCTTCATGAAGGACAACAAATTCCTTACACCTAAATCCTTATGAGCACTGACCATATAAACCCCACTTAACTTAGGTGCTCCTCCAGAACGTGAACGATGTCGAACCCATCTATCTAACCTGGTAGGAGAAACCTGGGATGGAAGGAGGTCAACCTTTGTTGCCACAAGAACAAGCTTTGGCAGTTTCTTACCCAGCTTTGGATTATCCTGGATTCTTTCCAATGCCTCAAACAACGATTTCACTGCAGTTCTAGGGAAAGAACCATCAAAATCAACACAATCCACAACCATGACAACAACAGTAGCACTGCCACTACCAGCAGGATTCATCAACCGAGTAGAAATCAACCTATTGAAATCAAAATCAGGTATCAAATTCTCAACTGTCTGGTTTTTCACCTGACCATAATTTCTCAAGGAGTGACACCTAGCACATACAGTAACCTCTTCTTTCACCTTCTCAGCCTCTCTAGCCATCCTCTTCTTCTCAGCTTTTGACACCTTCTTCTTCTTTGCCCTCTCCAGAACCTCCTCAGTGACGTTACCATAGCCAACCCCTGCAGGTGCAAATCCATCCAATTCCAACTTATCATCCTCTTCCTCAAGAAACTTAGCTTCCCACTCATCAGAATCCCAATCAAACTCATCTTTTAACCCCTCAGTGTCTTCTTCAAGCTTATTTTCACTACTATCCCAAAACCCCATTTCATCATCATCATCATCATCGTCAATATTATCCTCATCAGAAAACTCTTCCACTTTCACCTTCCTTTGTTGGTAATACCCAGGAAGGTTTGGGTCTTCATCTTGCATAAAGACTCCACAACCAGGGCAAATGGGTCCACGAGTTTCATCCTCATCTCTCCCCTCACTCAAAAATGGGTTCTTACCATCTCTCCTGGGCGTGATTTTAGCATAATTTCCCTGACTCGTTTGCACGGTGGAGTTACCCTTTACCGCAAAAGTAATCAAGGACGGAACTTTCTGAGAGCGCTTGCCACTATCTATACTCAAGTGATGAAAAAACGCAAATGGGTATCAAAAAAATGAAGAGAGGGAGTGCGAGAAACTGACACAAGCGAAGAGGATTAATCGAGGGTCTTACCTATGGAATGGTGAAAACTTGGAAGTGCATGCTCTTGCGTATTGTTGAAGATGGCAAGCTTGGAGCTGAGCTTAGAGGAAGGAACCACAATCGTAGACAACAAGATAGCCATGACTCCGAGTTCTACAGATAAACTGGTTCAGCAACACAAGCACAAATACAGAGGAGAGAGGAAGAGGGTAAGGAAATTGGTTTAATTTTAAATTTAATCATAAAATTTAACCATTTTATCCTTTGTTAAATAATTTATTCAATAAAATAAAATTGAATCGATTTCATATTTGATGAGCTCTAAACATAACAAATATTATTATTATACTTATAATTTTTTTTTATATAATATCTTGTAACTATATTTTAATATCGTTAATTTTTGTCAATTAACGGTTATTATTTATTGAGAACTAATAATTAATTAATAAATTTAATTTGTGAAAATCATAACTTTTGATTGACAAAAATCAACAATGTTAAGATATGATTGCAAGAGGTTGTAAAAAAAAATTGTAAGTATAACTTTCCTTTTCTTTATAATGTATTCTAATCACAAAATTTAATTTCTTAATTAAATCAAATTAATTCAAACAAAATGATTTCTTATTTTAAAGATTCAAAACATAACGTGAGTTAAAACAATAAATTGATTTATACAAAGGGATACTTAATTTGTTTATTATTATCTTTTATTATTAAATTTTAATTATTTGATTTCTCTCTATAAGTTTTTAAGAATTAATAATTAATTAATTAACGAAAATTAACAGATAAAATTTAACAGTGAGAAGTAATAAGAAAAAAAAATATAAATTTCATGTTCACAATGACAAAAATGCCACTAAAATTTGACTATATTCTCCGCGCGCGCCACTCGTTTCAGCTTCTATATATAAAGTGTTTTCTCAAGCTTCATCGCGAAGTTTAACCAAACGCCAAAACAAGGAATATGGCGCCAAAACGAAAACCTTCATCTCCAGTCTCCATAGGTTGAATCTTCAAACCCTAGGATTCGAATATACTGATTTGGATGCTCCGTTTCTAACCTCGGTTTCCACATTCTCATTTCGCAGGTAACTGCGAGATTACGGTTGAGGCCAACCGCTTCACCTGCAACTCCGATTCAAACGGCCTCTTAATCTCTATCCCCAGAAGCGGAAAGATCAGAGTATCAGGTATTTTCGAAGATGCTTGTTTCTCCTCACAAATCTCACGAAACAGTGCGGTTTGAGTTTGTTTATTCGATTTGATTAATGATTTTTACTCTCTCTTTTTTCTTTCTCCGTTTTCTTATTCCTTCCTTAACCAGTGGTACAAGATGTGTCTGCAAACCATGGAAACGCTTCTGAGGATTTCAAGTCCGGAGATGGAGGTATAATGCTGCATTTATGCTTGACTCATTGTAATATTAATTTTATGTAAATATGTAATTAATATTAACTAGTAATCATTAGCGTGATTAATAATATTTGCTGTTTGGTTCATGAATCTATAGAACACGAGTTCGTGCTAGTTAATCCTAAAGATGTTGATGGTATTAGCAAATCCTACCTTCAGGTAACACAACTCGTATTTAGTATTTTTTTTTTTTTTGAAAATCGTATTTAGTGTTTTTGAATAGGAGAGGTTGTTCTGTAAAATTCCATTTCTGACTTATTATTTTTTATAAATATTTTATAATTATAAAAATTTAGAAATAAAAAATTAATCTTCCTATCTTTTCCCCGTTCAAAATGTCTCTGTGAATGGCTTTGCAGGAAGTATTACAGATGTATATGACAGAGCTACCTGGAATGAATTATGCTGCGAATACCGGAAAGCAATCAAAGTTTCTTGAGAGATGTGTGACGAATGGGTATTAGATACTTCCCCTTTTTTTCTTGCTTCTCTTGCAAGTCAATAATTCTTCCCCGGTAGTGTTGCTGCTAGTTCATAACTATGCTGATTTTAACTGTATATTTATTTACTGGTTTGTTTATTTTTTTGAACTGTTTTAGGTTTAACATTAGGTTTTGTTTTGTATCTGTGTTTTTCGGCTACTTGAAACTAGAAATGTTTAATAACCTTTCATTTATTATTCTTGCAGGAAATATCGAACACTACTTCTGAAATCCAGTTCGGTAGGAAATTTTGGAAAGGTATATTTGCTAGACGACTGTGCTTCTTGTCACGGATTGAGGGCATGTTTTACATCGGTGTTTTATTTCTAAGCCTACTTTTTGGGTCTTCTACAGTGCAGCATGAGTAACTTTTGTTGAACTATCCTATAAATTAAATTCAATGACAATGCTTTTGGTTATAGTACGTTTACAGATTACAGTAGAGCCTGTGTCCATCTCTTAAAGAGAAAATCTAACATTTTTAGTCCTGAGATTCTTTAGAGTCTGTTTGTGTGTGCATTAAATTACACAAGGTATTTAGTCATCATTGATGGAGAGATTGGTTCTAGAAGTGGATTGACTTTGTCTCAATGATAGTCCTGATTGATCTCTGCTGATACTCTCCTTTATCGTCATAGAGACCATCAGGCTTAGAAATAAAAGAAAGATGATATTTCTTACTGTCTTCTAATGTCAGCTAGACAACAATGCTTAGAAGATTAGAGAAATATAATAGTATATGAATAATAACATGTTAGCTTATAATTAACTTATGCCGTGTTTAGGTTATAGCTGCAATCACATATCAAATCATCCCTGCGGATACAGAATATGCAGAGATCCCACTTGCAGCTGTCAATGCAATCTATCAACGGAAGGTCTATTCTAATTTTTACATTTTCTTCTTTACGTCAGTTTTAATTTATTTATTTTAATTGAAAATGATGGTTTTAAGAGATGAATGTGTAATTTGTTGTTTTTCTTTCTTCTAATGAAGTTAAGTAAATCATGAGAATTATTCTAGTAAACATGATTGGTACAAACTACATAGTGAAAACTTACGCGGTCATCTTATTTTGAAGGGCTCGGATATTTTGAAACTCATCTGAATTTTCACATCCGAAGATAATGCTTCTTAAAGAAGTCTTATGGCATACTGTAGTTGTATATTGTTCCTTCTCATTGTGTCTTGATTATATTGAGCTGTAGCAACTTATATATCATGTTAAGCCTTTTCCTAATTCTCCTACTCTTGCCATTTGTTTATGGGCTCAAGGTTTATTTCTCAGTTAATTACTAGTTAATATGCTGCAGGGTTTTGGTCATCTATTGTTTGCAGAGCTATGGAGGAGACTTAATAGTGTTGGCATTCGTTCTATTTTCTGTTGGGGAGACAAAGAATCTGAAGGTTTTTGGCTTAAACTGGTAATTTATAAATGAAAATTCACCGGAGGCTTGAGCAAATTATAGAGTCTTTTTGGGCTTTATTATATGAATGTTATTTCATTTTTGAGTCTAGAATACTTGATAGATATGCAATCGTCCTAGTAAGGATTCCATTTTGGGTTTGTTTTTTAGTTATATATTTGTTTTGTAGTAAATAAAAGGTTAACATTTATGTAAAGAGGCCAGTTTATATGGTAATATAAATATTCTATGGTATCAATACAATTTGCCAAATTTAGAACCATGATTTTCATTCCTGTAAAAGATTCTCCTTTAGTTCTGCTGTTACAATGTTTCTTTTTATTTATTGCAAGTGCAGGGTTTTATATCAATAGCACAGGTAGATACCAAAGGTAGAGCCCGAAGGTTGCCTGTAAAAGCTGATATTCGCAAATCATTATGCTTTCCTGGTGGTTCAACTCTCATGGTTTGCCACCTAAGGAAGGAATTATTAGCTGATGATGCTAACACTGTGAAGTGTCTCCCCTCACAGCTTCATCAGAATTCCTTTACACCTGCCATTGCTGAAAATGAGCGGGTTGAATTATCAGGAGAGTTACATATTGATTTGGACTTTGCCAATAGATCTTCCTATAGAACAGAAAGTACAGATAAAATTCAACCTGAAGCTTTAGTTAAAGATGGATCTTCCAGAGAGTATGACAAACTTAGTGGTAATACATGATATGTCTGTCTCCCATACTTGATTGCAATTATTTTCATTTTATTTTTTTTTGGAATTAGAAAGAAGTAACCAAATTATCTTTTATATGGCTATTTGACGTTTTACTGTACAATTGTTGTAATCTCTTACACTACGGACAGGGTTTGACTGTCACAATCCTAAGCACTGCTGCAGTGACATTGTTCCTTTTGCCAAAGCAGATGATGACAGACAGGACGCTGGTACAGGTTTTTCACAGGATGGAAGTGATGCTAATGTCAAGCATTGTTCTCAATCTACAAAAGGTGCAAAGAGGACCTGGGAAGCCTCTTTTTCCTCGTTGAAGTCAAAAAGAGTGAAGGGAAGCCAGTTGGTTGACTGTGGATCAGATTCTAGCTGGGGTTTCATCTCAGAGGATGATAGGGCCGATCCTTGTTTTGTGGATGTCCCTCATGCTGATCCTCTGATCAAAAAAAATTCTGAAAAATGTACGGGAAATTATATGCATTTAGAACCTCCCATCAACAAAGAACTGCCATCAACTAAACAACGCTTTAGAATCATGTTGATGAATATCGCTGATGATGCTAAGAAAGCACAGCTTACAAAGGTATGTTTAATTACCCAAGCATTTTATAAATGCTTTATTAAACTGATGGGTGACATTTGGTTTTTGTTAACTGTCCTTTTATTTAGAGACCTGGTCTCCTCCTTTTGAATTGATTAACATTCCTTTTAAGGATTGGTTTATTACAGCTGGCAGGAAAAAGGGGCTAATTTGAAGCTTTCTAAATTTATTAATTCAAATGCTGAGGTCTAGATTTCTTTAATTTTTTTTATTGTGTATTTTGAACTTAATAGCCATTACACATTTGTTTTACATGTAGGTGATTGAAGACCTTGGTGGAACTATGGCCTATGATGGAAGCATGACCACACATGTTGTCACTGGAAAAGTGAGAAAAACTCTGAATTTCTGTACCGCCCTCTGTTCAGGGTAGGCTCAAAATTATAGTTCCAAATGTTTGCATGCTTAGCTTCATACTGAAAATGTTTTATAGTTTGATTCTTATGAAGTTGTTCTTATTATTCATTAATATGTGTCCTACTACATCTTTGTCTTCTTTCTTTGTGTTGATCGTTCGTAATTTATAACAAGGCGATGTTGCTAACTGCACAGTGCTTGGGTGCTCTCATCAAGTTGGTTGAAAGAAAGTTTTCGCGAAAGCAGATTTGTTGGTAAGCTGGACCAAACTATCTTGTCTATATCTAATCTATATCTAATTACTCTTCAGAATAGCTTACATTCATAATTTTAAAAATGAATATGCAGATGAATTGCCTCACGTACTGAATGATAAGGATTTTCAGTTGAAGCACAAATCTGATTTAATAAGTGCAGTTTTCCGAGCAAAAGCTAGTCCCCATGCTTTGTTCAAGGGATATAATATATATATTGCAGCTCATGTTCAAACACCTGCTAAAACACTGTCTGCTATTGTCAGGTCTGCAGGTGGTAATGTAAGTCCTATTATTTTTACTGAAATTTAAATTTAAGCAGACCATGAACAATGCTATGTCTGGCATTTCATATCTCCTACAGTTTATAAACAACTGCACCTCTTGCAGTTGATGATCCAACAGCTCTGTTCATTAAACTAATTTCATTTTTAATATTTTATTTTGCACGAGACAAAATTGTTCATGCAACATGAGAAACATATTCATCATAATAAATTCATCTCAAATGTCTGAGGTCCTATGCAGTTTTAAATAAACTGCAGAGGATCCAAATCCTCCCATCATTTAGACATATGCTTGGTATGGTAAAAACTTGAAGCATTGGAATTCAAGTGGTTATTCTCACAATGGTTAAATGCTTTTAAGAATGCCTAGCTATCATATATAATAATCTTCGTGCTTCTAAGTTGGAGGTATCTGTAGACTACTGATTCCACACATTTCGGTGATCCACCTTGGTTATTTTCAAAAGACATCGTTGACAAAGTGAATTTAGTCAACCTAGTTTTGGAAAATAGCTTTGAAAGTTTCTTAAACGAGTTCACGTCTGACAATCTATTGTCTTCTAGTTCGTTCTAAGATCATGTTGTTTGACTATCTACTGATTTAGAGTTTATGGATTTGAAAATTGTCACTGTTGGTTAGTTATGTAGGTCAACCACAAAAAATCAGCATGCGGTATACTTCTTTTCAACACGTTGATTTTAGTTATTTATCTATTTTGATTCTTTGTTTTTCTTATCCTTTTGAAGACAATAAAAGCCATCGATATATTGGTGTAGAAGCTTATCCATACTGTCTAACCTTTTGTGAATGGTGAACCACAATCTTTGCCTGCCTACGCTCATATTTCATTCACCAATATTATGTTTCAGTAACTTGAGTATTGACTTATTAAGCTTTTTCGGAATCCTCAGAAATAGTTTCTGATTCTTTACCTAGTGGGTAGCGGCACTGTCAAATTTTATGGTCAACTGTATACATTCTTCTAATTCCTTTGTGCGAAACTTGTGCTCTTTTGTTTTCTTTTTTGTTCGGAGCTGTTTCAATTTAGAGAAACTAATTATATCAAGAATCATTTATGACATCTTGTATGAACTATGAACTATGAAGTCCTTTTCTCTCCCCTCCTTCCCAACTGATAGAATTACTTTCAGAAGTGTCTTGCATGTGCATGCCCATGCCCATGTAAAATGTTCATTTAATCATACATATTCACATAACACATCTGTTCACATCTGTTTTTCTGGGGCTTCTAGGAACTGAACCTCGCCTGTTATCAAATTCGACTTGTTTTTGTATTAGGTTATTAGTGGGCTCGAAAATGTAAATGATGCATCAACAACAATCTTTGTGACATGCGAAGAAGATACAGAAGAAGCAATGATGGCTGCAAAGAAAGGCATTCGGACTTTCAGTAGTGAGTGGTTCATGAACTGTGTCATGAGACAGGAGCTTGACTTGGAGGCCTCCCAATTTGCTGAGTCCTTGTAAGGATGTTAATGCCCAGTGGTAAATATGATTTGGTATATAAGAATTTCTTCAGTACTTTGAACTGTTAGCGTTTCATTTATATAAATATGACTTAGGTTTTTTAGAAAGAGAGCTGGTTAACAAATTTGTCCTCCCAAGGAGGATGACTTAACCAGACCGCTTCATCTCAAATGAGGTTTCAGATACTGTAATTAGGCATGTTTTGCGGTGGTTTTTTCAGGTTTTTTTGTTTAGGGTTTAGGAACTACTTGCAATAGGTATTCATTTATGCACAATTTTGCCATTTCTACGCCTTTGCTATTTCATTTTAGTTTATTCTTTATATAATTCTCTTTTAGTTCTTGTCATGGGTTATTTTACATCACACTCATTTTTAATTTACATATTTATAATATTTTTCTACAAATCTCACATTATTATAACAGATAACAAAAAGCGGAAACGAATATAAAAACTAAAATTAGAATTTTTTTTATAGGAATTAAATTAAAAGTAATATTATCTATAAAGATTAAAAAATATTTAAATCTTAAAAACTTTTATTTATTAATAAATAGATAATTTTAATATGAATTGTTTGAGGTTAATTAGCTAAAGTTTCTTTAATATGCATTTCCATATAACATAAAATTGGTATATTAGGACGTGATTTGAGAAAGAGATATTAAAGATCAAGAACGATGATTGTAGTTAACTAGTCTTTATAAGACGAGGACATAAGTTTGTAAAGGTAATACTCAAATGAAGATTAACCTTATGCTCAGACATAGTAAAAAAACCTGACAACACAAATAAAAGTAAGTGAAAATTAAGAAATAAGCCCTTAAAAAAATTGTTACTTAAACTAGTAGTTGACCGAAAATGTTAAGACTACACATTTTTAAGTTCTCTTCACAATGAGGGGTGGCAAACTCGTCACCTTTTTTTTTAGTTATTTGTATCCCAGTACTATCTGTAAATTGTAGTGGACAGCTCTGATTTATTGGAAATATATTAATATTATGGGTGGAATGTTTATTATTTTAAAGGATATAATTTTATGTTATTTTAAATAAAATGATATTATTTTGATATATATTTGGTGTTTTTTATTTTTTTTCTCCATAAAATTAGGAAGAGAAAAAAAAATGAAGAAAAGAGAATGTAAAAAATTATCAAATATGTATCAAGATAATGTTGTTTCATCTAAAATAATATAAAATTATGTTTTTTTAAAAGAACAAACACTTTTTTTCTATTATTATTTACTGATAATTTTTTTAAAATATAACTATGATCGTTACTATCATTTTCTTTCTTTCTCTTCCTTTTTCTATTGATTCATCAACATTAATGTACACAATTCGCTATATGATTTTGAGTTCGGTAAGTTGCATATTGTTTACAACTAATATTGCTGGTGGGAAGGAATTATGGGTTAGCAATCACATCACACACACACCTGCATGCACATACACACACACTCACAGTCAAGGTGACGGATAAGCTGATGAGTAATGGGCCTCTTTACTGTTAACTCCCCTTAATGTTGGCCCACTTTTAATTACCGCAGGCCTCATAAGTGACAACCTTTTAGTGTAAAAGAATGAAGGGATTAAGTTTCGTTCATCTGGTGAGCACCAATTCTGTAGATTATAATGCTGATGTTGTAACCCCACTTTCTAGACGCTAGCTTCCAAGTGCGGGAAAATGGGAAATGTTTGTTTCACAATATTAGTAAAAATTCAGCTATTGCTTCATGCTTGGATCAAATTTAATATTTATACATAAATTCTCTTAAATAATAATTCCTTAGTGTCTAAAATGCGTAGCAGGTATACAAAAAGATAAAATAAAATGCATTGCAAATAATTATGATATCATAAACTATTATGTTTGTCTGAGTGAATTTCCATTTCTCCCATCTCTGTCTCTAGAATCTAACTGTTAGTTTGTTGGTGTGCTTGATTTTCTTCTAGGGAAAACTTCAAAAAATCTCCTTTAACTTTTCTCATAATCATTTATCCCCTCTCCAAAATTTTAAATAATTTATCTTCTTGATTTAAAGTTTTTTTTTATCATTTACCCCATAAGTGAGGAAGATAAGTGATAAAGAAACTTTAAGTCAGGGAAGTAAGTGATAAAAAAAATCTAAATGATTCAAAACTTTTGTGAGAGAAGTAAATGATAATTAAAAAAAATTATAGGAAGATTTTTGAAGTTTTTCTTTTCTTCTGTAGACACATATGAGAGAGTAAGATTTTACAATTGTTTATTGAATTTGCCATCAATTGTAGTTTCACACCGCGTGCGCGGTTTTTCGGTAGCTAGCAATATTGGATGAATAACCTAATAGTCTGACTGCTATAATTTTATTTATTTTTATTTCAAACGTATGATTTTTGTAACTAAAATATAACATCATTTATCCCGAAAAATTAATTAATAATTAATGAAGAAGGTTTCAATTTTTGAAAATTAAATTATTTTAATTACTAATTTATTTACAGTTAACCAAATAAATCATTAATCAATTTCATTTAATAAAATACTCAGCCAAACGAATGAATCATCTCTCTCTCTCTCTCTCTCTCTCTCTCTATATATATATATATATATATATTTGCTCCTATTTTATGTAGATCTTCCTGTCTTCACCTTTTTATCCTGAGTAAAATTTTGGTACTACCAGAATACTTAAATGGGTAGTTCCTTTTTTTATATTTGCTAAAAATTTCCCATCACATTACAAAAAAATTTCTTTTTGAAAAAAAGGTATACCTAATTAAATACATTCGATGCACAGAATTTTTTTTCCTTCCGCCTAACTTGTTTTCATTGTACGAAAATAGGATTTACAGTGGGCCTATCAACAATTCAACTGCATATTTCTGTGGAAGGGCTCAGATTGTTTATGACTCTTCTCCAAAATCTGGGTGCACAGACATTGTGTCTGAAAATAATTGATGTTAAATATATATAGGGAATTAAATATTATTAAAATAACTTAAGTTTTCAGCTAATCGATCAGCTCAACCAATAGTGACATGACACCAAACATAGTATAATCCTTTCTTGGATTTTCTCACATTCCAAAGTTTCACTGTCAACTATCTGAACCATATCAATGCAATCCTCACCTCTAGCTCTTGTTTTTATTGGTCCTACTTACACTTTCTCTCTCTGGTGAGCACAGAGACCTGATACTTCCTTATTTTTCAAATTTCTATTATAAAAAGCTCTCTTCATTTTCAATTTTCAAAAATTTAAAATATCATTCTCAAATATAAATTCATTATTTAATATTAATTATTTTAAATTTAATTTTCTTAACATTAGTTTTCTAAAATTAATGCTATCAAAATTTAAACCAATCATAACCTAAATTATAATAATTTTATTTCCTGCTGCAGTTGTTCCTTCGTGCAGAGTGGCCCCTTTTAATTGAAGTTCAATATTGTGACAAGTGTACATAAAGTTAAATACAATAGAAGTAACTTCGCATCGAACAGTTCAATCGCATTCGATATTATTTAGATGACAAATTCCATGTTTCGTGGGATGATGTGCTGCGCTCTAGGACAAAACATTACTGACAATGAAATTGCATTCTTCTCTGTTCATTATTATTGGTTTTTTTTTTTTTTTTTTTTTTTTTTCAGACTGACCACTTTTATTGAAAAGATTTTAAGATGGTATCGCAAGGAGATCTTAAATTTCTTTTTGAAAATTAAATTGCTACCCCTATATCAATATATAACAAATAATAAAAGTTAATAATTTTAAAGTAATTCTTTAAAAAATATAATTAATTTCATTATTTATTTCATCTTTTTTTAATCTTTATCTTTTTGAGACCAGAAAATTACTCTTTAAAGTTAAATATAAATCTTAAAAAATTTAAATTAAAACTTTACATACACATATATATATATATATATATATATATATATATATATATATATTAAAAGTTAGTTACCAAATAGATGCTTAATTTTTTTTGTAAAATTGAATAAAAAAATTTACAATAAATTTAAAAAGTTATATATTTGGATTTTTATAGATAATTTTAACTCCTTTAAACTCTTCAAAAAAAAATGTCATTCTCAATTTCGTCATGTATATGACATTTGTAATTGTTATCTTGATGCAAAAGACGTGACTTGTTTGAACACGTTTAATATATCAATTTAATTTTGTCAATATAATTAACAGTAAATGGTATACAATAATTAATTGCATTTATAGAAATTAGCATCAAAATAAAAATAATAGATGAGAGTATTTATAAATTCAGAGCAAGAAATGATGCACCGTATTCATTTTTCATTATTACAATTTAATATTATTTGTTTTTAATTATATGTATTCATGTGTCGACCTTATACTAATATTAAATTATTTTTTATCAATATCATTGTATTTTAAATTGATTATAGTAGTTTCTGCTGAAAGAAAATAAATGTAATATTAGAAAGTATTTACAATAAAAAAATATTTGCAGGATAAATAAAGAATGAATTAATAAAAATAAACTGTGCAAATAATGTCAAATAAAATATTTATTGATAAAGTTAAGGATATTTACATCGTATAATGATTGATGAAGTAAATGAGAAATATACTATACTTTTAGGGGGTGTTTGGTTCAAGAGAAAAAAAAAATTTACTAGGGAAATGTAAATACTAGAGATCTGCAGGAAAAGTGAGTTAGATAGAAAAGTTTTAAAAAAGTTGTTTGGTTGAATAAAATTTTACCAGAAAAATTGAATGAAATTTTTGAATGTGTGTTTGGTTGAAGATAAAATATTGATGAAAAAACTTAATGAAATTACAAAAATATCTTTATAAAAACAACTTGGTTTTATTACAACCTTCCCACGGCAATAAATAATGTATCGAGGGTAATGTTGTCACCCTTTTTTACCACTTCAATAACTTAGTTGGTTTTCTGACAAATACCACCTTCGATTTAGCTTTCTCAAACAATGAATTTGTTGATTTTTACATGCAAGTGTGGATTGATAGGCAAGTGACTTTGATGGATTTAATTTATCATATCCGTCAACCAAACATGGAGAACTGAGATAGCGACTTTTACTTAGCTAAGAAACTAGGGGAAATTCTTGAACCAAACACCCCATTATTGACAATCAAAGTACTGTTTGTAAGGTTGATTGGGTTGAGTTACAATAATTAAATAAAAGTAAAATTAGTTACTTAAAAAATATAAATCGAATAATATTGCCAAACCAACATACAAAAGAAATTAAT